GCCCACACCCTTAAGTTATTATTGATCCATAGAAGTTAGAAGATCGGAAAGAAAATTTTTATCACAAAAAACCATCGTATACTTTAGAATTTTTCGGTGCAAGTGATGATCTTTGTTTCCTTTGTATACAATTATTTTATATTTTCATTGTTCCATCAAACTTTTTGTTGAAACAAATATTTATTGAGATGTAAAACGAAAAATTTTCCGAAAAAATGCATGTAAAAAAATAGAAAACTAACTCAAACTTGTTAAAAAAGCTGATCAATAAGAGAAGAGTTGATTAGCCAAAGCATATGTTTTTCCTTTTACTCATGGTACATCTCTATCTACACAGCCAGTGAAGGATAGAAGTGAAATATTCTGAAGTAAATGGAATTTGTTGGATTCATCATACTTTTCTTGAAATAATACTATTGAATAGAACCTGTCAAACAGATTCTTCTGGTACTTGAAAAGGAATGGATATCAGATCAGATATCAAAGAAACAAATATATAAATGGTTCTCTATCCACGGAAACAAATATCCATATTTGATTTTGGATTTTCATCAAAAATTTCCATTTGACTTGCGTTCTGCATTTTTTGGAATCAGAAACCGCATGAGTTCTGGGTTCCTGGTAACAAGAAACTCGCATGCATCCCTGCATTCTGGATTCAGAGGAACCCGGAACCCATAAAAAATTATAGTGAATGTATCTTTAAAAGTTTTATAAAGATTCACTAGTGTTTCAGAATGCGTCAAAATGAACCTTGGAAAGGGTTCGCGTACCTTCAGAACGGAATGTTCAGGAATGCGAACCCTGACATACCTAATTCATATACTGCATCGAATTAAAATAATATTGGAGACATTTTTCGAAAGAAAGGTGATTATACTAAAGCATTCGATTGTTATAAAAAAAAAGCATTGAACGCTTTGGGAAAGCAATCAGTGAGTAAAAATCTTCTAAAGCAAGCCGTTTTCTTGAATAATATTGGTATTGTGTGTGCTTCAAGAACAAAAGCAATACAAGGAAGCACTGCAATATTATATGCAAGTATTTGAGATACCCAAAACTTATTCGCCATCCGATAAAACATTATTAGGCATGTCGAAGAATAGCATTGGTAATGCTTATCATATGCTTCAACTTTATAAGGATGCACTTTATTACCATGAAGTCCTCAAAATCTATAAAAAAAACTTCCTCCACAAGATTCAAAATTTGCATCAGTTTAGAACGATATAGGTGGCATCTATGATGATCAAGAAAATCAAGATGAGGCTTTATCATATTATAAAAGTGCACACCAAATTTATCGCAGTATATATCCTCCTACACATCCAAATCTTATCAAAATTTAAAGAAAATATTCAACGTATTGAGTCCAGAAGAAAAAATTGTTTCACTTGCATTCATACATGAACATTTCGACTGTTTTTCATCTATCCTACACAAATGCATTAATTTATATAAACGCAATTTTTGTTCTTTTCAGTTCACAAGTTTAGTTTTCATACATATATTTATTTAGTTTCATCAAGATTTCAAATAATTCTATTCGTTTTATTCACTGATAAGCATGAGAGGACAAGGTGCACAAAACTTGCCGAGCAGTCGAATAACACCCGTAAGAAATTTTTTGAAATGTCTTGAATTACACGTACATGCCAAAATGTACTCGTATTTTACGATTTTCATTCTTCATATAGATATTTTCACCAAAACTAATAGCAGATTCGCAATTTCCATCAAAAACTGAATCTGTAGGCATACCATTTGTATATTTTTGACAAAAACAAAATTTTTCAAAAGTTGTGGGGTACCCTAGAGAAAAAATTAAAAAAAAATTGTTTTGAACTGAAATATCTTGATTTATATACCAATCGACACAGTTTTTGGTGGAGATCACAAATTCGATATTATTTTTCTTGAAAAAATTTCGAAAATGTTTTTCTGAGTTGCTCCCAGGATTTTTGAAAAATGTTTTTTTCGTCAAAAATATACAAGTTGCATGTCTATAGATTCAGTTTTTGATGAAGGTTACGAATCTGCTATTAGTTTGGTGAAAATATCTATATGAAGAATGAAAGTCGTAAAATACGAGTGCATTTTGGCATGCAATTCAAGACATTTCAATAATTTCTTACGCAACAATGACTCCAAGATACACTCATAAATAGAGTTTTTCATCCTTGCGAAGACCATTAGCAGTCATCAAATAAAAGAAAAGAAGATCGAATCGTTCTTTGTTCTACATACCCGTCTACTTGCATCTCGTTGCTCTCATTCGCCTTGCCACGTGTCTTCAACCCATGAATACTCTTTCTCGCTCTGTCGCTCTTACATCACCGCTACTCTACGGACAACCCGAGCGTCAATTTGTATTGCCTTGTAAGCATGACATAGGAAAAAAGTAAGCAAGTATGTATATAACTTATATACGTATATATATAATGATGTATGGAATTTCGTACGCATTGCACTCTTGACTAGCAACATATAATGGCTCATAAGCGTTTGGTAACTGTAGTTGGAGCCACGGGTGCTCAAGGCGGTGCGGTTTTACGATCATTGATTGCAACGGACAAATATAAGGTAAATAGCTTAATATATTTTATTATTCTCAATGTGGGAGTTACAACTTTTTGAAAAAAGTTGATAGTTGAAAATAACGACAAAAAAGTTAAAAACGTTATAACTTGGGTTATAACTATCCGCCATTTTAACTCGAATCAATTTTTGATAAATTGAATGAATGTAATCAAGTTGAAATGATAATTCTTTTAATTTATTGGCATGTTTGACAGAATAAATTCAAAAAAATATTTCCTATTGTTCTTTGCTTTAGAACATTAGCATTAATGGATTATTCCGTGAATGATTTCTCAAGTATTTGGTTGCGAGCGAAGTATTCTTATATTTAGTCGCCGACTGTGAACGAACGGATATTTTCTACATTAAGAAATAGATTGAGTTGTTTTCTACGTTAACTGCGAACGGAGCGCGAAAACTGTAACCATTCGTATCAAACATATATTTGCCAATTACAGACCATTTAAAACTAAGAATATGTCTTGGAAAATTCCCTAATAGAATAAATTTGTTGAAGATTAAAATCGTTACGGGCTATTCACATATTCCACCATGATTTGTTTATTTAAAAATCACCTCTCCTCGTCCCGTTTCTTTCTAAGGGCGGCATCAGAGGAATTTTTAAATGCTTCACGAAATCAACGCTGCAAGAGTTCTAGGGATTTGTATATGAGTCTTCATTTGGCCCACAGCCACAAGAATTACTCGTTTTCACTTTTCTTCTTTCATTTCACGCATGTTGTGCATTTTCAATCGCTACCTACATTTAGAAAAAAAGAAGCTTGCTAGCGCAGCCTCTTTCGGACTGAAATGTTGAATTCACGTGCCCCAATAAGTTAGACTGCCCAACGAAATGTATAACCAGTTACTAATGTCTGTAATGAAGGAGGGCTGCGAACACTGGAATTTGACAATTACACTCACTATTTTCTTCGAAAATATGCGTAGGTAACAGAAAAAATAAAATGAACGGCAAAAGCTTCAATTATTGCCAAGTACACTTAATTTTACTTGTATGCTATCAAGCTACTATGATTTCCCATATTTCCCATATATTCGTCCCTTTATTCATTAAAACGGTTTTTTAGCTGAGAATGTTGATGCAATTGAGGTTGTCGATGTGGCTGTCTTGCGAGTTTTGATAAAGTGAATCAGCGCCAATGCAACAGACCCTAGAGCGTCATAAATGGATTTAGAGGTGGAAAATAAGAAGATAATAATAGTTTGCGAAGCAATAAAGTAAAACGGAATAAATTTAATATTTTGACGATCCCTTAAGACTAACATAAGTGCTCAAAACTCAATGGTGCATTTGTTCGTTAGGAATGTATGGCTAAGAAATGTGTGATATTGAAGCAAGTAGTGTTATTCATTATTTCTTCCGGAAAATGTTTAGCAAAATTTTAAAAAAAAATTTTAATTTTTAATTTTATTATCTATTAAAAACAGAAGAATACTTCCATTATCTTAATCTTGAAATCTCGTCATTTAATCACCATTTGCTTTCATGTTACACTTTATAGCAAAAACAAACTACTCGTATCAGTTGCATCCTTTTTATTTAAGAAAAAAAAGATTTCCTAAAACTATTGATGATATGAACGTGGTTGGGTCGTCATTCTCCAAGTGATCACATTTCCTTACCAGACTATGACATATTATGCGAACGGCATTTAAACCTTTCAATCAAAGTTATAACTAATAACTCAGCTTATAAATTCCGGTTATAGTTATAATCTTGAACTTGATTTAGAACTAGTTTAGTTGCAGCCACTAATCAAAACAATTTCTAACATAACTGTGAAATTGAGACTAATGAAAACTATCACTCATGTCCGTGACATAAATGCGGTACACTGTCACAAGGCATCAACTAGCTATCATCCATTGGTGTGCCAATAATAAGGACACGACTTATATTCATTCTACTTTTTACTGATCATTTTCGCTTATCCTCACGAAATATATTGAAGATAATTAGTATTTTAGAGCATAAGAAATAGAAAAGAATAATTTCAGTTTTTGAATACTAGCCCAGGGCTGCGATATCTTCTGCTTTTTGAAGTTTTTTCTGCCTTTTTTCTGTCGATTCTGCTTTTTGAAAATTTTTCTGCTTTTCTTAATACTGTGTTTTTTATCTCTTTAATCAACCATTTTATCTCAAAGATTTTTTTCATAACTAGACAAAAATCCTTGTCAATAGTTAACTGATGTTTTTGTTCCATGCAAGTTCTGGGCTTGTTAGAAAAATGATCTTTATTTTCTACAGACTAGAAACAATCATCAGTGTATATATTTTTTTAAAGCATTCTTTACTCCTGCTTTTCTTTGGATTGCATTTTGCAATAATCATATGGTTCATGCAAATCAATACATATATTTTTTGTGTGTTCGGTTGATAAGCATAAATAGTTAGTATAATTCGAAAAAAACTACAGGAACAGAAAAAAACGAAGTGAAGATGATAATAAGTCAACAGTGTGGCAATAATGCATGGACATCCTTTATTGTTCACATATTTGCGTGTCCATTTCTTCGGAATATCCTCTGATCCTATAGTACAGAAAGGAGGAATACATTCTGATGAGCGTTATGCAATATGCCATAGACGTCGTGTGATCTATTACTCTCATCAATCTGTCTGGTTTCTTTATGAATTTTATTCATCTACTTTCAAGTACCGTGATTGTTTATGTCTCTAGAGAAATAACCTAAGTAATGCGCATATGCCTATTTTATCTTTTTCTATTCTTCTCTCTCTTGTGTGCACGTATATAAAGCGAGTAAATTGTATTATACATCAGAACTGGAATGTAAACAGAACTGGAAAGTTACAGAATGGAGTAGTGTAACTAAATCTTATGTACACTAAGGATAGCGGTGACGCTACTCTTCCAGTTTCTCTTTGTGATCACAAATAAAAATAAATACTGTAGTCGTAACGAAAATATTATACCTCACTACCATCATTAAAAAATTCGTTACTAACAGGAAACAAGATAGTCAACCCCCCGACCAGCTTATGGATGTTTCTGTTTTCTCTTACTCAGTCATCAAATTTTTAAACTTAATATGATTTTTATATTCTTTACCTTGTATCAATGCTTACGTTCAATCAGCATTCTCAAAATTGAAACATTTATTAAGCGATAAGAAGAACTGTATGAAAACCGAACTTATATCACATCACTTAAAAATACGTTTAAATTCCACCTTAACAAGTATTTAAATATATGAATATTTATTAGGCCATCGAGATTTATTAAAAGCTCTTAAATCGGATGAACATTCTATGTTCAAAAGAAAATGTGTTCAATGATCTTCGTGTTTGCTAATTAATTGTTTTTCTTGATTTTGTTCAATATAGATCAATATTTTACATGAAAATTCTTAATTAGTACACTGGGGCAAAGTTTAGAAATAACATTATATCACAAACACGTTATCTGTTTTTTTCTGCTTTTCGATGAAGAAATTTCTGTCATTTTCTGCTTTTTATAAATTATTTTCTGCTTTACGGACTTCAAAAGGTAGCAGCACTGTATTAGTCATATATGCTCACATTTCAAAGAGTAATTTTGTTGATAGAACACAAAATATATTGTGTTATACGCATATTCGTGCTCGACATATAAATACGACAAAACATAGTTTACTAAGTGTATTCACCAAAAACCACTCACAGAAAAATCCAGTAGTACTAACTTTTAAAGTAAAAAATAATAAAAAATGCATCAATAAAATTAGGAGAATTCTAATTTCTACTGAATCAAATCTATTCAATTTATGAAAACGTTATTTGAGTTAAAACAGTTGATAGATATCATTACGGTTGAAAGTTATAACTCCCACGCTGGTTATTTTGTAACTATAATTCTTCTTCTTCAAAAGATTCGCGGTTTAACACGCGATGCAGCAAGTGAAAAAGCTCAAGCAGTAAAACGTTTGAATGATCATATTGAGATGGTCTCATGCGATATCAACAAGAGAGAGGATGTTGAAAGAGCATTTAAAGATTCATGGGCTATTTTCGCTCTAACAGACTTTTCGTCACAAATCAGTCAACCTGGAGCTGAAATTCAACAAGGTAAAGGGATGGCAGATGCTGCTGCTGCACTTCAAATTCCATACTTCATATTCAGTACCCTTGAAGATGCTACGAAACTGAGCGGTGGCAAATAGTAAGTCTTTTCTTAGGAACTACTGTCTCGCACTGTCTGTTTCAATATACTTTTAAGTGTCGCGCCACACTTCGCTGAGAAAGCTAAAGTACGCGACTACATCAAGGAATACCACCCGACTTTGAAAACAATTTATGTCGAGCCCGCATTCTACATGCAAAACTGGTCGAACATTTTCAAACCACAGAAATCGGCTGATGGTGCGATGATTTTCGCACTGCCTATCGACGAGAAGACGACATTGCATATGGTGGATATCGAAGACACTGGTCCGATAGTTTGTAAAATTTTGAATGATCCAGACAAATATGTGGGTCAAGATATTTGCATTTGCGGTGAAGCTATTCAATTTAGCGACATTCCTAAAGTTTTTACTAAAGTTACTGGCATTCCGGCTTTAGCTAAAACATTAACGGAAGAAGAATACCGATCGGCAATTCAGTTCCTGCCGAAATTTGTACAAGATGAATTATTTGCTATGTTTCAATGGTTTCAAGAATATGGCTATTATGGCAAAGACAAAGATTGGACAACTGGACAAAAGTTAACAGCATTAAATACATTTGAGCAATGGCTGAAAAAAACCGGTTGGAAAGGTCAATAATTGGTCACGATGATATTTTGCCATTAGAAATATATATTTCTTCAATATAATTAATTATTTATGTAGTGTAGTTATATAGTTTCTATTCTAATAAATGATACACTTACGAAATTAGAAACATTCGATTTCAAAAATTTCATAACACATTCTTCTCGGAAACTTTTTCTTCAGATATTTCAAATAAAACAGAAATCAACCAGTAGCATAGTGGTATTTCTGACAAAAGATTCAAATGAAGTGTAATGGCTGAGAATGAACGAGAACGGCTATAAAGACAACACTGGAAAAAAAAAGGTATCACACGAAACCCCAAAGGTATCCGATTTTTGTAACCAAATCGAAATCCTTTGAGGTTTCGTAGAAATTGGGTTTCGTAAAAAGCCTTAATTTTAATGACTGAAAACAGGGGTTTCGTACTTGAGGTTCCGTATAATTCACCACGCAATATTGAATGAAAGATCCGCCGGGTGCTTAACTCCATTATGGAAGTAGTTTTCCATCACTATCCACTGCAAAAAAAGCGCCCTCTCTCTAAAAACAAACCGGGTTCTGTAGAAACTAGCAGGAAAGATGCCTGAAAGCCGCCGTATCCTGTAGAAGAACACAGAATATCGCTGGAACATGGAAGCAGTATTCCGACAGCAAACTTTCCCAATTTTTCTGGATGTTTTCCGGCGCATCTTGCGAAAAGGCGTTGCAAGTTGATCGGAACTCACTAGAAAAATCAGGAAAGTTTGCTGTCAGAATACTGCTTCCATGTTCCAACGATATTCTGTGTTCCCCTACAGGATACGGCGACTTTTAGGCATATTTTCTGCCAGTTCCTACAGATTCCGGTGTGTGAAGCGATCGGTATACGATGTTTCAACTAAAAAAAATAAAATAATTCATCAGCATTTAATTTTCAAAATCGAACTCACCCAAATTATTTGTTGATCTGACAGTTGATCTAAATGAAAACATATGAATTCATAAGCGTTTAACTTTCAAAACCGAACTCACCATTATCATTTGTTCAAGTGATACTTGCGTTAAATCGAAACAAATATTTCACAATGTCTATAAGCTTTAAGTAGAACTTACCATTATTATTTGATTAAATCACGTTTCATCTAAATCAATATCATATTCGGGTTGCTAGGCCTCGATAACCTATTACAAACTTCATCAGAATTTATCTCGGAGTTGAAATAAAAAGTCTACCTTTAGCCTCTTTGACTTAGGCGGGGACCGGTTTTGTGACCAATGGGAGCTTGGATCATTCTTTTTGAATGTAGTAAATTTTAAATTCTTCTCGTGATCCTAATGAATGCGACAACTGAGATCGTTGAAGAATATCCAAAGAAGTCGATACATGAATCATTGATTGGTGTAGTTTTTAGTCAGGGTGTGATTAGTGTATGTAGCATATTCAACTTTACTATTCTCGGATCAGTTTATTTTAAATAAAAGTAGCTCAAAAGTGTGCGAGAAAGATAAGAGAAGTTTCTCGATATAAAAGATAATAGAAGATGTTTACGAAAGCAGCTTCTAGTTCAGCTTTGTCCACAGAAGAAGAATAGAATGTATGAAAGAGAAAACCGTAAAAGCAACACGCATAAGATGGAAAATAAAAATGTAGTAGTCTTTATTTGTGTGTTTGTTTTACGTGTTTTAACCGTGAGGAGATCGGTCCTTCGGGACTATGCCGACGTCTTTTTGATGGAGAAATATGATTTGATGGTTGTGTTGATGACATTTGGTTACGGCGCGTTCTCATTTGGTGTTCGCTGTTGACTGAATGGAAGCTGTTTTTATTCGAAAGAACTGACGCTGATGCTTCAATATTTGCTTCTTTTAATGATGGTAAATGTATTTGCGATTCAGAATCAATTGGTGACGATGGTGTCGATGCTGACGATGTTGACGATGTTGACGATAGCGATGTGTCTTTTGAAGAGATATTTACATTATCCTTGTTAGCACTTAATGTCGTTGTCGTTGTTGGATTTTGAAGATCATCGGCCGCTGCGAACTTGGACAATTGTTTTTTTGCTTCAAA